TGTGGCCACCAGAGGGCGATGGCTGCTGCGGCTACTTTATTACAGGTATTACACAAGGCGACACAAACAGTAATAACTATCTTCCCAAAGGAGAGATCTTGTCTGTTACAAAAGAAATACCTCACTAATTCTGATAATTCTGTATAGTCAGCTTATAGCTCATATTGAACTATATTCCCATCTCCTCAGGCCATCGCATGCACTGTGTGGCTGCTGACTTTCCCTCCTCATCCCATCAAGAACACATCAGCCCAGAACATTAAGATAATTCTGGAGTGTCACGAGGGAAACGTAATCTTCATCTGCTGCATCTTCGCTTATGACATCCTGCTGGCTCTGCTTGCCTTCATCTTCGCTTTCATCGCCCGCAAACTGGAGGACCACTTCAGGTATCAGTTTATAGGTTTTTAGTACATCACAAGAATTTATTATTGATTGATTTATTTTATTCTTATTTATTTATTTATAATACAAAAACATGCTGCAGGTGCTGGGGGTTTAGGTAGTGAGGAAGTGGATAAAACATAATCAAAACAACGAAATAAACACAAATAAATAAAAACATCAAATAGACCCATAAGAATATAAAAATCAATAAAACAAAACAATAAAAGACAACCTTTACCTCTTTAACATTAAAACAAATATTATGCTTCCCTGTTTTTATCATTACCTCATCTTTGTGTTACAAATAGACACAGTTTCTAAGTATTCATTGATTTGAAACCTGACTTTCAGTGAGGGGAAATGTGTGACCTTTGGAATGCTGGTGTTTTTCATCGTGTGGATCTCCTTTGTCCCGGCTTACCTCAGCACAAGAGGGAAGTTCATGGTGGCTGTCCAGATCTTTGCCATCCTTGCCTCCAGCTTTGGATTGCTCACATGCATTTTCTTACCAAAGTGCTACATAATCCTAATTAAACCCGAGCGCAACACAGAGGAGCTGATCCGGGCGCGCTCCAAACCCCGGGACTCCACCCTGACTGGGACCTCCGCCTCTCTGGGCACAGCAGCCACTGAAATGAACTCAACCATGGCCTCCACAGCGATCGATGATTAGGAATTTTATTTTTTGCATAAATATGACAGGTTAGACTACTCATTTCACTAAAACATGGTATAATAACACAATAATATTTAAAATGTAACAAAAAAATTTAGTCTTTTATTTTTGCAAAATTATAATTTTAGTTCCTGGTTGGACACAAGCAGCAGATTTGGCCAAAACATGACCAAGCCCAGTAATAATTAGAAAAACATGAAAACCTCTGATATGCACTTGTATGTCTCATATTTTATATTTTTTTGGAAGGGGCAGTTCAGAATTCTGGACATAGGACCTCATTTACTAGTGACACAGAGTGTTGGAAACGTGTGGAGACACGTCTCCAACGCGCTAGTGCATGTCAATGGACATAGTTATCCTGCCACTAACAGTCTTATCCACTCCACAAAGCACCCAAAGTAAATCTATTATTACGCCAGACTGTCGATGTGACTGTCTGTGTTGTTAGAATTTTGGAAATAAAACTAACCTTGCATCGCATGAATAGTTGCATGTTGAGGGACTATTTTCTCATACATCAGTCCTCCGCTGCTGAGCTTTCTATCAGGAATTACAACTCGCTGCTTCTGCTCAGACATAAATCCTTCAAATGCAAAGTTGGTTTTACTTCTAAAATTATTTATCAGCACAGACATTTACATCGACAGTCTGGTGTAATAATAGATTTGCTTCGGGTGTTTGTGGAGTAAGACTATTTTTAGTGGCAGGATAACTATGGCCATTGACATGCACTAGCCTAGCACCAGCAACCTCTGCAAATACAAGGACTGGATGGAATATTTTAAAAAGTGTCTCCACACATCTCCAACACTCTGGCTAACTAGGAAATGAGGTCCTATGTCCAAAATTCCAAACTGTCCCTTTAACATATTATTTTTGGCCTTTGCTCATGTTATGTTATGTTATAATGCTCATGTTATAATGTTATAATGCTCACTCATTTAATCATTGCTGTGCTTACAATACCGTCAGTACATGAAAAAAAGATGTTAAATTCTATGATATTATTTAACTAATAGCAGCAAAATGTTCTGTTTACTAAACTCCAATAGCAGTAGAAGGCTGCAGACATCTTATCCAAGCTTTCTGTGCATTAAAACAGCCCGACAAAGATGTTTTTATGCATACTGAGTTTGTGAAAAACATTTTTGTATTTGTGATAATTTCACAAATTAAACGCACAAACGCAGTCTTACAATGTTGTGCTAATTTTTTTCCTAAATATAAAAGACAAAACAAAACTTGCAGTGTAATATTTTTTATATAAAGTCAGCAATGTTGAGCTGACAGTTGTCTTTGTGAGAAACAGGTGTGTGCTCCTGCTGTTTTTCAAATGGAGACTGGGATTATTTAGGCAGCATTAACTAGAACATGAAACCACAAACCTTTTATTACGGAAAGATGTAATATATTTTTGTTCTACCAAAAATGACGAGTGTGACACAGCTGTTCCTGTATAACCTAACTATGTTGTCATCTTGGAAATAAACTATCAACACTAGCCACAGGTGTGACTTTCTTCCTCGGGTTTTGGGACCCTCAGAGGAGATATGAAGACCCATTAGTGAGCTGAATAATTCAAATCTTAATACTTTGCTGATCTCCACTGAGTTCTTGGACACCTCTGTCTGGGTGTCTGGACGTCTGGATTTCTTGAGAGGGATTTTAAGACCTGTGAGGTTCCATTATTATTATGTAGATGACTTGTCTTGTTTTACGTGTCTTTTACTTTTTAAAGCATTCATCCTGAGGTCAGTGGAAGGTGCACACTCACAATTAGTCTTAGGTACATTAGTCACTGGTCGCTGGCGTAAAAATTGGCATGTGGTTAATTTTTCTTAATATTTTACTTTCCTAAATCTGGTTTTATTTTTTCAAATTTCTATAACCATCTATTTTGAGTTTTACTTCCTGTTATAGTGATTGTTTCCCCCTGCCCTGCATTTTGAGTCCTTCCTGTGTTTAAAACATGACAAAAATAGATCAATAATAGTACTGATACCATTAATATTGGTCTTATTGTATGAATTTAAGTACTGCAAAATTAATGTATTACAGAGAAGAAGAAAAAAAGACGGCCACTGTTGAGACTAGAATCTAAATCACTCACAAGGATCAATGCAACCAGATAGCACAGTATCACACTTTGCTTAGATTAAAGTTGAGGATCTGGTTAAGGTACGCTTTGTTCCGTAGGGAAATTTGTCCTCTTCATTCCCCTGTAACACCCACACACGAGGAGAAATATGCAGACTCCACACAGACAACCCAGAACTTTATAGCTGTGAGGTGATAATGTCAGCCACTCAAACAATACGAACAGTACCGCTGAATGCTCAATTTGACAGTTTCAAAACATTTACTACCCCACATGAAAATACTTGACATACTTGGTTCACCTCAGCCCACACCAATCCACACTGACAAACAATGTAATGATGTTTTTCCCACTCCAGTCTTGAGTCTCAGGACAACTGGAATGGCGCTAAGACCTCAAGACTCTCTAGTGTGTAAATTTAGAGCTGTCCCTTGTGTCAGCACCGGTAATGACCCATCTGCTGGTACATAATGGTCTGTTTTAGTGGTTAGAACGCTCTAGTGCAGGGGTCTCCAACCTTTTTCTTCCAGTGAGTGAGCTAACTTTACAAAGCGAAAGTGCCAGAGAGCTACAAATTTTAGTGGTCACAAGAAGTGTAAGAGCTATGGTGAGCCTTAGATAAGGTGCAGTTAGATGCCTGTAAAACATAAACCATTATCCATTTAGTTGTGAACAAAGTTAGGCATCAAAGTGGTACATGTACAACGATAACAGGCGTAATAACTTATTCAGCACAAGCAAGCTACTTGGAAGTAGCCTGATTTGTCAGCCGGGTTCACTTCATAGAATTCGTTCACTCGACGGTAGGTAGGGTTTTTTTTTTTAACCAATCGCTGCTATTTAGTCGTGACATGTAATGCGCCGCTAACGGAGCTAACTGGTATTTTAAGCTTTTCCCAAATCCTGTCAGAAGAAGGGCAATAACGTCTTTCCCCTTGATAAAATTCAACAAACAGCTCTCGTGAATCGTTGCCAACACAGAATGTATGGCTCTTCACTGATTGGTCGGTGCGCGGTCTACAATTTCCGGGGTTCTTGCAAACCGTCTAGTGTATTCTGATTCCTGACCTAGTTGCTGGAGAGAAAACTAGGTGGCGCCAGCCTAGGTAACTTAAAAGGGGGTTGAAAGCTACCAGTAACTCTTGAGACCCTTGCTCTAATGGAATAAGTTAAATAGCCCATATCACACTGTTCTGATCTGTTATAATGTTGTCTGCTTGTCAAAAACATACCTGGAGTTGTGTTTTGTTTCATTCACACGTTTAACACACAAACTCTGCATATTTAGGCTGAGTTCTTCTCTCTTCAGATTAAAAAAAACCCCAGTTCCACCTAGTGATGTGATGCGGTAATACAGGACTCCATATTTTCACTAGAACCATGGACGATTTCAGATCTGGAATTGCCAATCTCTCCTGAACAAAAAGTCAAGTTGGAACAGAGCATTTTGAGCTTTGGAGATGTGGACAGACTAATAACAAAGGGTTACTGAAATATGTGTGAATGTAACAAAACATAACTTAGGTGTGTTCATGAGTAAATTTTGCGTAATGTATGAGCTGTTTTAGCTTCTCTGCTGTTTATTGTTTATCAGTGTGCAGTACAGCTTATTGTTTGAAAGCACAGTCCATGCAGCGTGGCCCTATCACGTTTGCATTGTGTGAGCGTGTGAAGGGATCATGGACACCCCGGCATTACTTGGCTCGTTCCTTTTAGGCCTGCGCTAGCTGTGACGAGACAAGCAGTCCGGGATCTTGTTTCAGCCAGGATGAGGCTATAAGAGACCTGAGAGCACAGTGGACGCACATAAAGCAGCTCTCAGGAAGAATAGCAACAAGTTGACACCAAGGAACCGTGACGAGAAACTAGTTACAGGTGGTAGCTCAGGTCAGCACAGGACAGGTGGAGATAAGAAAGGTATTTGACGGAGAAGTTCAGCTGGAGTGGACCATATTCATTCTTTAGTTTGCTGACTGAACTCTTGCAGAAGAGGTTGGCGTAAAGAAAAACACTATTTAATCTGGAGTGGATGAAGGAACAGCTGAAAGTCTCGCCTTGACCTCTGACCTGTAGGTGAGGGCCATGTTAGCGGCCCGGAGCAGCGGCGGCGGTGTCCAGCCTCCCCACATTCATCGCAAACACTCGGTAGCGTCTCTGAGCGGCACCAAGCGCAACTCCCCGGAAAAGCGCAATGCCTCCGCCGGGAAAGTGCAGTCCCAGGCCCGCAACAAGGCCAGCCTCATCCGGGAGATTGAGACCACCTGGTACCTGAAGATGTTCGGCCTGGGCAAAGAGGAGACGGTGGCGCACAAGACTGGGATGCCCTACAGGTGAGTCCAGAGTGTAGTGCACTGTGGTGGAAGATACAGAAAGTACAGAAGTAAATGTGCAATACTTGGGTAAAATTTGTATCTGTGCTTATTTCACAGTGGGCAATTTTTACTTTACTTCACTACATTTGAGAGCTGGTGTCTGTACTTTCTACTCCACTACATTTTAGATCTGGACTGACTTTGTTTATGGTTTGAGACCAGCTGAAATGACTGATGAGACTTATTTTTAGCACATTTAATTTGAGTTAACATCTCAGCTTTGTGCAAAACAAATACACAAATACACAAAAGCAGCTACAAATGAATCATGCTTTAATTGTTCTAAAAATATCTGCAAAATATTTTTACTTTTTACTCTTGAAGTACATTTTTAAACAGGTACTTCAGTAGTTTTACTTAAGATTTTTCATATGATACTTTTAGTGTTACTTGAGTAGTTCTTTGTACCCCTGTATATGTGCCAGAGGTGGGACCAAGTTGTTGTTTTGCAAGTCTCAAGTAAGTCTCAAGTCTTTGACACCAAGTCCAAGTCAAGTCCCAAGTCAAATACAGGCAAGTCCAAGTCCAAGAGTCACTGGCCCATAAGTCCAAGTCAAGTCCAAGTCGTCTGCTTTGAGCTTCAAGACTTTAAACCTAAATAACAAATATATCTTAGATTTTTGCAATTTATATGATTTTCAAGCTAAATTTTACTTAAAAGTCACAGTATATTCATACATGAGTATTTATACAAGAGATGTAGAAATGCATATTTTTCCTTTTTAAATGTATTGACAAGATCTTAGCGCGAATTAGTGCGGTCAGAATAGAAAGAATTCAGATTTAAAAGTACTTAATAACAGTTATTTTGTCGTGTGTCTGCACTGAAATGAAAGGATCATGTTCTATGTAGTTCCCTTGGTTTTATTGTACTGCGTATTACTTTAGTGTACTGTATATTACTGTAGTACATTTAAGGATACCACATCACAATAATTCAGTTACAACCAAAGTAACAAACAGAGAAGTGGGAGGGACATGGTCCAGTTTGTTCCTGTAAAATTATGCACCACATGCATCAACTGAAAAGTATTTTCTTAAATTTTTTTTAGAAGCATCGAGTCTTCTCAAGTGACAGGGTTCAAGTCCGAGTTAAGTCCCAAGTCACTGACCGTTAAGTCTAAGTTGAGTCCCAAATCTTAGTCCATTTTACCAAGTCATATCTGAAGTCCTAAAAATAGTGACTCAAGTCTGACTCGAATCCAAGTCACGACTTGCATGTGCCCACCTCTGATCTGTAGTATTACTTAAGTAACAAAATTCAGTACTTCTTCCACCACTAGTAGTGTAGTGTTAAAAATACAGATAAGCTGATATATTAGTTGTCTGATAATTACACAGTTTGATGAATTGACCTTAAATCTTCAGCATAAGCCGGTATTTTGTTTGAGATTACCAACTCTGGATGCATTTTTTCCATGTGTTTATGTGTTCATGTGTCTTGCCCCAGTACAGATGTATTGTATAAGTAGTTCTGGAGGTCCAAATATGCCTGCTGCTGGCTGTGTGCATCTAATTAGAAAGCATTTTATTTCCTAATAATCAGGAAGTACTCAGTCTATTAAAATGCTAATTGTTGATAGCTTTACTGTCATGGCAGAACTTCGCTCTGGTCTCTTAAGAGTTGTGGAAAACGTGTATAAACTCATTGACTTAAGTTGATTACAATGAAATAAAATGATATAGTTGCCTCAGTCTCACTGAATTTTAACAACAAAATTTCTTGCTTTTTTTTTGCAAGTTTTATGTCTCCCCTTTTAAGTCCACTTTTAAATGAATAATGCTTGTTGAAGAGAATTTACCACTAATGTTCAAATTCCTGTTGATGTGATGATGTCTTGAACTATCCAAATGGCAAATTCTTGTTGTACATGATATGTATGATTTTTGACGTGATCCAAAAACTCGCTGTATTACAACAAAAATCTGTATTTTAACAATATTAAATGTAGCTGTTTTATAGAAAGTTATAAGCTTGTGATGCCATCTGAAACCTAGCAATTATTTATTTTTATTTTTTACTTGCAGTTTATAATAATCAAAGCACGATTTTTTTGTAGCTATTCTGGTTGCTTTATATTTGTATTTCCGTATAGATCAGCACATCTTCTTAAACATATCCATCCTTCCACATTTTTTTCAGAACACAAAAGAGTTGCAATGTTGTAGTTTTGTCTTTCTGTTGATTTCATTTTGCTTTCCTGACCTGCTGCTTTTGCCATGCACCAAACATAGACCCCATCCATTTATTGACCGTACTTTGTCTGACCTCTTTCTAACACCCAAGCCTCTTCTGACCTATTGCATCACAGCCAGACCGAGAGTGACCAGGCCGGACCACTGTTAGCACCGAGCTGTGAATTCTGTACACGTCTATATCAGGTTTTGTTTGGGTTCCTTCTGTCGACATGATGTTGAGTTGTCCTAGCCGAGTTTGACTTTTCACCTCAGAGATTCCGTTGTAGAGAAGTTTATTTATATTACACTATTTCTGATTTGTGTTATAATGTTGTTTCCTCATCAAAAACATGCCCGGAGTTCGGTTTTGTTTCATTCACACATGTTTAACACACAAATCCTGCACTGGAATTTCCAATCTTCACTGAATTATAGGTAAAAAGTAGCTGTTAATTTCATGACATCACAAGGTGGAACAGAGCATTTTCAGCTTTGAAGATGTAAACAAACTAATAATAAAGAAAGTTACTCAAACATTTATACTCACAGCAAGATAATACAAGAAATACTAGATGGATTATCTTAATGCGATACTGTGGAGCACTCCAGAGAAAATAATAACATCTCCATGAATGCAAGCAGATGGTGGACCCCACCACAAAAAACTTACTTACTGTACTTTTGATACTAGAAAATGTAACCAGACAAGGGTTGCACAATTAATAAAAAGAGATTGGAAATTTGAATAGATGCAATTAGCAAAAGTACCATAATTTCCTCCACAAACAACAAAAGCTCTTATGTCTTATTTCTTATTCTGCATAAAAACTGCCTGCTAACCTGTAGTTTAGATCTGCACAAATGTGATTCTTGTATTAATTTGTCAGTTCTTTTTGTCAGTTCATCTAGACACGTTTAAAATGTAAACTCTAAACAGAATCCTATTATCAAAAGTCCTTACACAAAATTGACTCTTGTGAACTTTGACCCATGTTATAATGCTGTTACCTCTTCAGTAACACACCTGGCGTTGTGTTTTGTTTCATTCACACATTTGAGTAATCCTTTATTATTAGTCTGTCTACATCTCCAAAGCTCAAAATGTTCTGTTCCACCTTGTGACGTCATAAAGCTGTAGTTTTCATGTTCAGCAGCTACCTTTTACGATTACTTCATTTGCATTTCCAGAGCTGAAAAGATCCAAATGATTCTAGTGAAGGTGTATGGAGTTTAAAAACACAGTGGAGCACTTCCTGTATTACCACATGACATCACAAGGTGGAACAGAGTGTTTCCTGTTTGAGAGAAGCACTCAGCCTAAATATAGGGTGTTTGTGTGTTAAACATGTGTGAATGAAACTAGGGATGTGGAAAAATATTGAAATATCGATGTATCGTATTGCTTAATGTAATGATACAGAATCGATATCGTGGGCTGCTGTATCGATATATCGCCAAGGGTATTTTTTGGTTATTTTACTCAATTATTTTGTTACAGAGCTACAGTTTTGTTGTTTGCTCAGAGGAAGGAAACTCATTTATACGACACATTTGTCATTTTCACTGTTTGGATGATTAAAATGTTTGTATTTCATAAAAACTTTGCACAAGAAGTGGTTTAACAAAGATTTTTAGTATCACAGCCATGATTTAGCATCGATTTTTTATTGAAACATATAAAATTTATTTGAAATATATGGTATTGAATCGAAAGTGCACTGTATCGAGATATGTTTCGTATTTTGGCCTATGTATCGAGGTATGTATTGTATCGGCAACTTCTTAATGATACTCAGCCCTAAATGAACCAAAACACAACTCCGGGTGTTTCTGATGCGGAAACAACATTATGACATAAATCAGAAAAAAGCATCATATGGGGGCTTTAAAAACATACATTGCAAATCTATTCTCAGCTGCAATGCTTGTCAAAAAAAATCGCAATTCAATTTTTGTTTTTCCCAAATCCTTCATTATACATAATTATCACATTGCCACAAACACCCAGAATAGTATTGTGTATTCTCTGAGTCATTTCTGGGCCAGACTTGTGTGTCACCTGATCCTCTGGTAATGCTAATAGCGAGCATCTGTCTTGCCGCGTTAGTTTTTGTTGACATCTTCTAACGCCATGGTGACACAACAAATGGCTGGCTGCGTGAACTGTTTTGATTCTCATCTGTGTCATATCGCCGTAATAGGCTCCATTCTCCCCGGTAACAGCTCAGAGAGGGCTTATCTCGAATTTTCTCACGCCCTTATTTTCATATCTTTCTTCTAAATGCGTAATCCATCTGTGCTCTGTTCCAATCATTTCACAGTTTAAGCCTCACATTCAACTGCCTATCAAGTGTTTCGCTATCTCTCGGATTCCCTGCTGAGTTTGGGGTTTTTCACGATACCCATTATAGTAAAATTGAAAGTTAATGTAGAACCCGTGTTGATGGAAATGTGTGTCTCCCAATAGGGCAGTCTTGGTGCCTATTTCAATTTGGATATTTTATTCTCTCTGGTTTATTTGCCCCAGAAGTTCTGCTGCTAGAAGGACTTACCTGAAAAATCTTTGCTGTTTTATAGCGATGCGTTTACTTTTGCGTCTTAGAAAATAATTGTTGTACTCCATGACGAGAAACAGGAAGCAGCGAGGCGATAAACTCCTTTGTTGTTGACATTGAATTCACAATTTATCAAAAATATAACAAAATATCAAAATTGAAATAGGCACTGACACAGTTTTTTGATTGGTGTTATTTGAATTAAACTTTAAATGAAATATTGGA